GAAGAAGGGAGGGTGAGTGTGGAGGGATGGTGATGGGTGTGCTCCCACTTAGTGGGCACAATGTAAGGGCATAGGGCACACCTTCTGGGTGTGGAACACAACTACAATAGGGACTCAACCTAACAAATGCAAACATTGTAACCTAATTGTACCCATATATTAATCTGAAATTTTACAAAAGCAAAAACAAAATAAAATAATGATGTGTCCCCTTTTAGTCAGTGTGTGGTCCACTTTGACACCTCTCCTTGGCTTGATATCCTGTCCCCTTCTTCCCCTACATCTTTTAACATAGAAGAACGCACAAGGCTCAGAAACCTGGCAGGTAAGACCATCTGGCTGAAAACAAGAGCAAGGCCAGGTTTGCGCTGTGTATCCATGGATGGCAAGAGACAAAGGCAGTCCATATACAACTGTGATATAAAGGTCCTTTTTAACATACACTGCTCTGCCCCAAATGTGCTAGCAAACAAATGGCTGTCATCAAGGGCGGGGCGGCACGTGCCGAGGCACAACTGTGCAGCCAGAACGCAATGCACCTGACTTGCCACCGCTGCCGCTGGAGTGGTAGCTGTCCCAAGACTGGAGGGCCGGTGTTTTGCTGCCACCAGGCGGCCAAAGGCGCACAGGCGTATGGGCTCAAGGAAGTCCCGCGCCAAATTAGAGTCGCGAGTGGCAGTAAGCGCCGACTTCCCACATTCTCCACCTGGGCACAGTTTCCACACCCAGGCTTGCAGCCTACTGGGAAACAGACACCCTAGTAGAGCACTGGAACACTAGATGGAAGGGACGGTGACGGGCCACACAAGCCTTCACTGTGCTAGAGAAGCGGAGAGGGGACTGCGATTTAGAGGGGGGAGGGAAGAAGCTCCCTAGCTGCCGTGCCAGAGGAGAGAGCAACCAAAGGCCAGCAGGCAGGAAGCAACAGGTATGTTAGGGGCAGAGAAGGCCTGGGCTAGGCAAGGGCCCACGCAGCTGCGCACCGGTCCGAGGGCTGCGGCCTAAAGAGCTTCAGAGCCACACAGACCGCAGCGCGGGATGGAGAGACAGGAGGCCGGGGAGGGCAGGACGGGAAGTTCGAAGGGAGTGGAAAGGAGCAGAAGGCAGACCATCCGGTCTGTGGCTTTGCAGTCTGCTCCCGGCGCCGCGTGCCGTGCTTTCTCCGCGCGAGAGTGAGTGGGGACGTCGCAACCCACCAGCTGCACACTTTGCTCTCCTCAGCGCCGGGAGTGGTGATGTAGAACGCCCGTTTTGTGCCAGCAGGTGTTGGGGACGCGCCGCTGGATGCCAGTTCCGCGCAGGATTCTGAGCGCCCGCCGCTCTCTTTGGCGACTGTGGCGCCTTGATGGTTAGTATGACGGACATGAGATGAGGCCCCTTCTCTTCAGGAGCAGGAGAAGCGATCACAGCTGTAGGTCATGTCCCAGGTAGATAGAGACGACCCCAGACTTTGCTCCTACCCGTTCTCGTTAATAGGGAGCAACAGCCAGGCGACTACCATTCAGGTCAGAAGCTCACCAGAGGGCTGTCACCATCCCATCCCCTGTGGGAGGCAGTGGATGTTACCTTTGGAACTACTAGGAGGCAGCCTCCCTGTAGTGTGGGCTGGGCCACAGGCTTAAAGACTCAGCCCTCTGGGATGAGAGGGTTACCTCAGAGCCTGAAAAGAGTCTTAAGGGTCAGTCCTATCTTCTGAATGCCTTAGCCTGGCTGAGCCAGACTGCAGATGGTAGTGACCCTCAAAGGGTCAGGGGTGCCTCCTCAGTTTAGGAGGAAGCCCAGGATGGAGGAGAGAGGCACATTGTTGTTGCAGTTAACTTCCAGATTTTCTCCACATAGTCTGGAAATAAACTCCTTATCAGATATGGAACTTGTAAACATTTTCTCCCATCTGTGGGTTGTCTTTTCACTCTTTTTTTTTTTTCTACTTTTAGTAGAGACAGGGTCTCCCTCTTGCTCAGGCTGGACTCAAACTCCTGAGCTCAGGTGATCCACCCACCATGGCCTCCCAGAATGCTAGGAGTACAGACAAGGAGAGCTCTTCTGACACACAAAATTTTTTCATTTCAAAAACATCCAATGTAGGTGATTTTGCTTTCGTTGCCTGTGCTTTTGGTGTCCTAATTGCCTGATCCAATGCCAAGAAGCTTTCCTCCTATTTCCTTCCAAGAGTTTTAAAGTTTTGGGCTCTTATGTTTAGGTCTTTGATGTCATTTTGAGCAAGTTTTTCTATATGGTCTGAGGTAAGGGTCCAACCTCCTTCTTTCGCACGTAGATCTTCCTTTCTTGAAACCAGCCTTGCTTCAAACCTGCGTGCCCAGAGCCTGGCCCCCAGCAGGCCTGGGCTGACACTCTCACCCTAGCCCAGGCAGTTCCTAATCACATTACTTTCTCCTCCCAAAGGGAACATGTCAAGGGTGGACACATGGCCTGCCTCAGTCACCCAGAAGCTTCGCTAGGGTCTTATATTCAATATGTCTGCACCAACTCCTTACCCTCTCCAAGCCTCAAGTTCTCCTTTGTACCCAGAGACCAAATTAAGCCCCCTCTTCTACCCAACCCATGCTCCACCTAAACGACCCCTCCTTCCCACCAACTGCCTCAGAGCACTTTCCACCAGGACAAGAATTTATGCAGGCTGGAACTCTACAACCAGGTTGAAGGTACAGCCAGGGAACCAGGACCTTGTCTTGCTTTTCCTGTTCCACATCCTTCTGTGGCTCCCCAGGCCCATGGGATCAGACCCAGGCCCTGTGCTGGGCATCCCAGGCCCCCAAGAATCAAACACCACATCAGGTCTGCCTCCCCAAACTGCACCCTTTATTACCTTTTCAAGGCATCCCCTCACCCACTATAGCCAGCTGTGCCTCTGTCAGCCCAAGATTGGAGCTGGGTCCACACAGGTTCCAATCTCCTTTCCTTCAGCAATGGCCATCACCTGCTGCCCATGTATGACGGACATGAGATAAGGCCCCTTATTTGCTGATGACACAACCCTGTGCAAACATCCTCTCTAGAATGATGGCATTGAGGAGGCTTAGGCCTGTACATATCACCAGAAATCCCAACGCAGCAGCACCCAGACACCTGGGGCACTTAATCAAAACACGGATTCCCAAGACCTCTGAGACTGGGGACCCAGAGAATGCGTGTCTCAGACAAGCTACTTATGATTTCAGACCCCTGAGGGTGCAGTACCAGGCCAGGCCCATGCTGGGTCACTATGGGGACCCAGGAATAGACAGCCCCTTGGGTCTTATGTCTGGGAAAGACTTGGAATGTCCACCTTGAGCAGAGGAGGGGAAGTCAGGGGACCTCTACCACCTGGACTCCCACTATGACAATCAACTCTCTCTAGGCCACTGCAAACAGGGGGAGTGGGCTGGGGAGAAATCTCTGGCCAGCCCAGCAGAGACCCACAACACACATCAGGGCTTCTCCTCTGGCATAAGAGGGTGGCTGGTAACAGGTGGGGTTCATCCACTGAGAGCACAGAACCAGATGTGGGTGATAGGGCAAGGGACCCAGAACCCAAGAAGGAGGGAGGGAGGAAAGGAGTGAATAAGTGAGTGAATGAATGAATGAAAACAAGTCGCTTCTGGGGTCCAGCGAGCACACCTCCTTGGAAGCTTGCCCGCCTCCCCCTAGCGGTCCAGGCTGTACCACGAGCGCCCCCCGGCGCGTCCCTGGAGCTGACCCGGGTCGGGGGATCAGGACACCTGTCACCGCCAGATACCAAAAGCGCCAGACCAGCAGAGCGACGCGCTAACCAGGTTGACCGCCAGGAGACAGGCCGACCTGGGAAGGCGCCCTCTCCTTATCTGTGAAATGGGAACGCAGGCAGCAAAATCGGCTCCCAGGGGAGTTGGGGGCGCGCGCGGCGGCCGGACGGGGATGGCCCAGCCCGGAGGGGGAAGAGACAAGCCGCGCGTTGACAACAGGACGTCCCACAAGCTCTAGTGTTCCAGTGCCGAGATTCGGCACAGCGGGGCGGAGCTACGGCGGAAGACCACCGGTGCGGCGCCCCTCCCCCACCGGCAGGGAGGCCCTGCTCCCATCCCCCACCTCGGGCCCGCGCCGGGATTAGGGAGCATCCACACTTCTCCTCCCGTCGGTCGTGGGCGCACTCGGCCTTTTGTACGGGGTCAGCTCATTGGGCGGACTTGAAGGATGCCCCACCCATGGCCCTGAACTGGCCAATTGCAAGAGGCTTCACAGGGCGCTGAACTCCGGGGTTTGTCACCGTCCTGAGACGCTTCAGGGGATCTTTAGGCCTCAGTGGGTATTGCGCCCCCAGCCCCGGGCTCTGACACCCAGGAGACCTACGGGACCTGTGCCCGAAGAGGTGTCCTCCGGGCATCCGGGGAGCCCTTGGAGATCTCGGCCTCCCTTTTCTCCCACTGCTCGCTGGAGTGTCCTCGAGTGGACGCGCGCACTTCGAAGGGGAGTTTGCAGACGCTCCCTCACTTCGGGGACGCGGCTCCTTTAAGGACTCAGGTGTCCAGGACGGCGCCTTACTGGAAATTCGCCCCCCGGGACCTGGCTCCCGCCCGGAGCCCGGGGCGCAGGCGCACAGCGGCGAGGCCTGGACAGCAGGGGTCGTGCGGTGGCGCGGACAGTGCGGGATGCGGGGTAGCGGCAGCTGCACGCGGGACCGGCGCGCGGCAGGCAGCCCCGCACCAGGCCCCGCCCCGCGCGCCCCGCCCGCGCCGGGGTCCTCGGAGCTCTCGGGCTGCGCGCGGAGCGGGCTCCGGAGGGAAGTCCCGAGACAAAGGGAAGCGCCGCCGTCTGTCCGCGACTCTCGCCGGGGCCGCGGCCGTCCGAGGTGAGCGCGGGCTGGGCAGGGCCTGGGTTTCCGCCGCCCGCGCCCCGCCCCACCGGGCCGGGCTTCCCCATGGGCCGCGAAGCCACCGGTTTGTCCGCTCTGTCGCTCTGCGGGGGCAGCTGAGTCGGGCCCGCTGTAGGCCTTCGGGCCGGGCGGCGCTCGCCGAGTCCGCGCGCTCTCCCAGGGGACTGACGCGCCCGTTCTCCGCGCCAGGCTCGGCTGCGCCTCTGAGGTGCGCTTCGTCGCGCCGGGCTGGAGAACTGCCTGCAGCTGCCGCGCGGAGAGAGGGCCTTCCTCGCCGAGTGGCGTCCGTTTCCGGGGTCGGAGTCTGCACCCCAGCTGGGCCGCCTTCCAGCTCAGGACAGACCGAACAGCAGAACGAGCTGGAGGTCTTGGGCTGCAGAATGTGGGGGTGGGGGCACATGCGTGGGTTTGTTTTTGATGTCTTGGGAGTCAAAACAGCTCCAAGTTTTCTTGCGTCGCTAACGATGTACCTCTCGCGGTTGGTGGGACCCTGAGCTTCTGCGTTTCTCCAGAGGGAGAGTGGTGTTCTCTTTGGGGGGTTACTTTGTACCAGTTGAATGGTGGTAGGAACTGGTAGTTACTCGAGTAGGAGGGAGGTAAAGAAATGATTAAAGCTTGCGGTCGTGGCCTGCAATCACTCTTAAGTAGCAGAATTAACTGGTTTGGTTTGTGTAACTCGAAAGTACGCTTACTTATTCAGTTTGCGAAGTAACTGTCTTTTGGGGGAGGAGGGTTGTTTGTTTCCTTTTATAGATTCTACCCCAAATATTTCTTGCTTGAAAGGACACGTTGCCTTTGGGTAGAGGACCTACCCAACGATGGATCCTAAGTTTGTCCTGATTGCTTACAGAGAGTTCCCCTTCGTAGGTTTGGGATGGTTGGTTATTGTCATACCTGTGTCTCAGGGTTTGGGACTTTGTTTCAGAAACAGCCTGGGGTCCTGAAACAGAGGTCAGCTGCAGCCAGATGAGGGGCCTTCGAATGCAGTGTTTAGAGCTTGCAGAAGCGTTACCTTCCCATGTTCGGGAGAGTTTGCATCCCGGTGGAAGCTTCTTCTCCAAACCTGTTACAATATTATCTGTGATACAAATGAGTAATTTGAGGTCTAGGAAGATGAGCACCTTGCCTGCACTCACACCGCTAGTAAGTATCTCTGAAATCTGTGCTTGTTAGGGTTAAAGTACAGCACCTTGCCGACCTCCTGTTCCACTGCAAGTGTTTGTGTTTTGCTTGTCTCTAATAGTTTAGGGTTATTTTGTTTTTATATGACAAAACTTTTCTGCTCTGAAGTGTCTAATAACATTCAGATGCTTCTTAAGACTGTTAATTTGATTTTAAGTGGGGTTTTGAATGAGTGTTTCTGTATTGTGATTTAATTGTGACAGATTGGCTGCTTTCTCCTGGATGCTGGGGATCTGTGAGGGAAGGTCCTGGGCCCTGGGCTACTGACTAGGACAGCATTGGGATGCGCGTGTGTCTCTTTGCTCTGTCTGTGCAATGTCTTCTGTAAGACCAGCACAGGGATGCTTTGGGTTAGAGGATGTTCTGGAAGCAGACAGGTCTTGGCAGGAGGTATTCCTTACATACTTGGGAACAGCTTGGTGCTAGAAGAGGTAGTCTGTGGCAGGGTCCCTGCAATCTTGTGAGCTTTGCCCATGGCTTTTCAGTGTCCGAAGTGCTGGCCTAGGGCTTCAAGGACCTATTTTGATGTGTAGTCCCACTTAGATTCTGGGGACGTTATGCCTCACTGAAACTGTCACTTAGCAGGCTGCTTTGTACTGGGCAGGGTGAGGGGCCCTGGGAAGCTAGAGTGTGCTGAGACTGGAGTCAGATAGAGGGGAGCCCTTCTTGAAAAATAAAGAGTTTCAGATCTTGGGTGCCTGCCATTGATCTCTTAGTCGGGAGACAGTCTTCTGAACACACTGGCCCACTGCAACCCTCCCCTCGGGTCTGCCCCGCTTTGGGCCCTTCTGCTCCTGCGCCAGGCTGGTTAGCTGTACTGCTCTTCCAGCAGATTCCCACCTGACCACCCTCCCACTTTCTCACTCAGTTCCCAGCACTTCCATACCGAGAAGCCCATGTCCTCAGGCTCCTCTTGCCTAGGAGGATATACAGGGAACTTTGGGGAAGGGTTGGGTGTTCCAAAAGGCATGAACCTTAGTGGTCATCTTTTTTTGGACAGTGCAGCTCCCTGATGAGCAAGGAGCACACCACAGCTCGGGAATCCCTGTCCAGTGAAGGAAAATTCTAGTTTGAGGTTAAGTTTGGTGTTACGTTAGACTCAACCTTGAGGTAGGAACCTGTAAGTGCTCACTGTGTGGTCAGAGGTCAGAGCACTGGAGCTGAGGCCCCTCTGCCACATGCCACCCTGACTCTGCATCCTTCCCTTAGGCTGAAGTGAGCATCTTATGTTGGAAATGCATATGTCTGATCAGTGGTCTAGTGGCTTGTAGTCACCTGAACCCCAGGATTCTTGGAATGACACTAGGGACAGCTTGGGGTTTCTGTAATGGTGATCCCAATCTCTTTCTGCTTTGCTGACTTCTTAGGAAAGAGTCATCCTAGTCCCATCCAAGACTCTAGCATCTCCCCTCAATTCCTGACTCATTGGTGCTGCTGGATACTGAGTGCACTTCTGACACATGCCAGGTGCTGCTGGCCATGCTACGGGGCGTGGCAAGAGACACAGCACACGCTGTGGGGCCTACTATGCAGGGCTGGTAGTCTCTGTCTGTGACCTCTGGGTAAAGGGAGGCTAGGGCTCTCACTGGGTGGAAGGTGCAGTTTCGTGAGGCTCAATGGAGGTGTCAGGAAATGCTCGGGCTCAGAATGCAGCCACCCTGGTGCCGGCCCTGCTTCCTCAGAAACCCATGGAGGACCTCCTGCATGTTGGTTTCAGAGAGGCCCAGGGTTGTGCTTGGGTATTAGGCCCCTTCTGCTGTGAGACACAGAAAGGAGGCCCATCATTCAGGACTCTGGATATGAACCTGAAAGATTGGGAGGGCTGCTATCACCCACTTTAGAGAAATAGTTGCTTGTCTTGTTAAAGCCTTGTTTTTGTTTTTGAGACTCAGTTGCCCTGGATAGAGTGCCATAGCCTCAGCCTAGCTCACAGCAACCTCAAACTCTTAGGCTCAAGAAATCCTCCTGCCTTAGCATCCTGAGTAGCTGGGACTACAGGTGCCTGTTACAATCCTTGGCTAGTTTTTTTTTTTTTTTTTTTTTGAGACAGAGCCTTAAGCTATCCCCTTGGGTAGAGTGCCATGGCATCGCGCTCACAGCAACCT